ACGGATCTCCTGGTCACCCACCCAAGAGTTCAGCTTCATTTACTCAATAAACACTGAAACTCCATGCATTCCACCTCCGTGCTCTTGTTAAGCAGTCCATATCCCATATTCAAGGGACACTGAGGTCCCCTCCAACTCTACCTGACCCCAAGTGACGTTCTATAAACCAGTGCTAGAATAATTTCCATGGAGTTAAAGGTGTTGATGGCCACCCACGGTGAAACATACCTGTATTCTCACCACTTTGGGAGGCTGAGGTGAGCGGCTCATTTGAAGTCAGGGGTTTGAGAACAGCCTGGCCAACATGGTGAAACATAATCTCTACTAAAAAAATATATACAAAAAGTAGTCGGGTGTGGTGGCAGGCAAACTGTTATTCAAGCTACTCAGAAGGCTGAGGAAGGAGAACTGCTTAAACCCAAGAAGCAGAGGTTGCGGTCAGCAGGATCTCCCTATTGCCCTCCAGCCTGGGAGAAAGCGAGACTCTGTCTCAAAAAACATAATATAGATGAATCATTTAAAACAATAAATACTAACCGGGCGTGATGTAGGGCCCCTGTAATCCCAGCTACTCGGGAAGCTGAGGAAGGAGAATCACTTAAACTTGGTATGCGGAGGTTGCACTGAGTCAAGATTCCATCACTGCACTCTAATCTGGGTAACAGAGCAAGACTCTGTTCCAAAAAAGAGGACCATTGAGGCCCAAGAGACCTAGGTTGGAAGTTCCACTACACTCCAACCTGGGCAACAGAGACCCAGTCTTAGAAAACAAACAAACAAACAAACAAACAAATAATAAACAAAACAGAAACCCACCATCATTCAAGTCTGATTATAAGCATGCTCTGCAAATGTATTACCAAGTTCAGCATCAACTTCAACGTTGCTTTGCTCAAACGGTGACACTCTAAAGGGAAGCGCTTTGCTTTTTCTTTGTACAACAGAAAGTGCTTCCCTTTAGAGGGTCACAGCATGAGATCTTCTTGCTCCGGCACTGTGGGTTTTTTGTTGGAATTTCCCTTGACCAGGTTAAAATGGACACAAAAAATAAAGATGCATTTATAGCCCTTGCTTGCATGTTTTCTGGAATCGAGGACATAAACCCCTAAAAGGACCATCTCCAGGTCCTTGCTTCAACGGCTCAGCAGGTTAGTCTTGTTCAAAGGGAAATCCTCCAGAGTTTTGTCCTCAAACAGAAAAAGCAATGCCTACTAGACATACCTTATCTTTAACCAAGAGAATTGGGCAGAATTTCTGGAGAACAGCAACGGACGCTGAGACAAGCGTTCAGTTGAGTTCCAGCACAAGGAACACACAGTCCATATGGGAGCAACCAAATTGAAACCTAAGATGCTGAAGAATATGCATTGTCACACACACAAACATCCTCCAAGAGGCCACAGTCTAGGCTGACTCAAGAGGACCACTTGAGGAGGGGCATGTGGCTTACACCTGTAATCCCAGTGTTTTGGGAGGCCAAGCGGAGCAGATCACCTTAGGTCAAGAGTTCAAGACAAGCCTGGCCAACATGGCGAAACCCCGTCTCTACTAAAAACACAAAAATTAGCTGGGTGTGGTGGCGGACGCTTCTAATCCCACCTTCCCAGGAGGTTGAGGCAGGAGAATCGCTTGAAGGCAGGAGGGGGAGGTTGCTGAGATCGTGCCATTGCACTCCACCCTGGGCAAAAGGGAAAACTCCATCTCAAAAATAAATAAATAAATAAAAATAAATTTAAAATAAGTAAAAAGGGGATCCCTGGAGCCCAACAGATCTCGTTCTAAGTGCCACCCACTCCAGCCTGGGCAACAGAGATCCTACCTTGGAAAAAAAACAAAACAAAAACAGAACCTCGACATGATCCAAGTCTGACTATAAGCATGGTCTGCAAATGCATTACCAGGATGAGCATCGACTTCAACATTGCTTTTCTCAAACAGTGACACTCTAAAAGGATGCACGAACTTTTCTTTCAGACAACAGAACGTGCTTCCCTCTAGAGGGTCACAGCAGGAGATCATCTTGCTCCAGCACTCTGGGTTGTTGGAATTTTCCTTGACCAGGTTAAACTCGACACAAAACGAAAGATGCCTTTGTTTGCCCTGTTTGCATGTTTTCTGGAATCCAGAACATAAACCCCTAAAAGGACCATCTCAGTTAACTGCTTCAAAGGCTCAGCAGGTTAGCCTTATTCATCAAAGGGTAATGCTCTTGAGTTTTGATCCAAAACACAAAAAGCAATGCCTTTGGTTTATGCCCCTCCCCCAGTTAAATCTGTAATTCTGATAAACGATGTATTTGAGAGCTACTTGAATAACAAATGATTTGCTATTTAGGTACGGGCATTTTCCCCTCTCCCCAATTTTAAATATAAGACAAAGCCGAATACAGTCGCTCACACATTTATTTCCATCATTTTGGGAAGCTGAGACAGGAGGATCACCTGAGGCCTGTTGCTCAAGACCAGTCTGGCCAACATGGTGAAAATCTGTCTCTACTAAAAATACAAAAAA